TATAAATAATTTTGTCAATGTTCTCTCTTTAGTTCCACCTTTAATGTAGAAAAGTCTTTTTATGAAAAAATTTATTCTATATTCTATCACTTTGTAAGTAATGAATGCATGTTTTCAATTCTGGATTATTCCTATGCTGGAATCATTATTTCAATTGATACTGAAATAATCTAAGAGGTGCTCATTTGCCCATAATGGAACTCCATTTTTAAGATATAAATTCATAAGCAGATATTAAGAGGTTATTTGTTTTTCCGATATTAAACATCATTTTAAGCCTTCAGGATTTATTTTAGTAACCCATATTTGCTTGCAAATGATCAAAAAGAAAGCTAGATTCTTATTACCAATTTATAATTACCTGATATTACAAAACAGTCACTATAAAAGAAATAGTTACTTTAGAAAAGCACCAAATATTTCACCTTATTTGCCAAATCTAACATATCTGGTTTTTTTTTGTTGTATAACCATGACGAAAAATGTGTTTTCCTGTCACCTCATTTATGCCTTCAACATTCCTATGACATTAGAAGAGACAGAGATCAAACTACCACCTGTTAAAAATCACAGTAATTATCACATCATATACATATAGTCAGGAGCCATGAACAAATTTATCATTTGCAGCTGACCCATATATCACCCGAATGTCAGCATCACCAACAGAGTGCTATAATTAGCCTCTCTCAGTTACAATTTCTCCAGTGCCACTAGGATTCTTACACATTCTAGATATTAAATATTTCTTTGTCAATATATTTTCCATGTTAACTGTATCATATGACTTAACACTTTCAAGATCATTGTCTCTAGGTTTTCTCATGCTGTTATGTTTTCAGCTAATAATGCTATTTCTATGAGGTCCCTGATTTTTTCATGCAACTTTCCATTTATTTCCAACATTAATTGTGTTTTATGTGTGTGGTATTAACTTTTTGGTCATATTGTTAGTGTTTATGACAACATAGTATAGGCAGATTCTTTCCATCTTTCAATGTCTCTCCAAGGTAAAGCACGGATTTTATTGAAGAGAAGTCTTTGCATAGAAAACAACAGTTTTGCTATGAAGTCTATCACATCCTGTTTTGATTTCTGTGTAAGATGCCCCAGTTTATACAGAAAATTGTGTTTCACACTTACTGAAGTACTCCAGAGGGCAGCACACAGCAGTATAAAGGAGGTAAAGCACACAGTGGGAATAAGTTGCTCATCACAATAACTGGGATAATAACCTTTGGTTGACTCAGTACAGTTTGGATTGTTTCCATTGGGCTTCATAGCCAATGCTTTGCAATTAAGATTGTTGCCATGTATCTTATGTCAGTTGCCAAGAGTACTCTCCACATGACAACAGTCTCTCCTGGTCCTAAATGTAAAGTAGTCATTATCTCCCAAAGCAGAACATTCACTCAGACCTCTTCCCAGGACACTTCACAGTAAGAGCTAGACAACCCACAAAGCCAAGCCTAGCAATAGGCAGATTAAGCAAAGACATTTCTCATCAAGTACTGCCAGCTAAGACATTTTTAGTTTTGGTGTCAGTACATAAGGGCTTTGGGGAATATTTTGCATTATACCTCTAGCTTCTGGATTTCTTTTTTTTTTTAACCAAAAAGACATAAAATCAGCTTATTAACAATAGTCAGTGTTGAAACCTATCTCTGATGGCCAGACCAATTCTACATCTATAAAAATTCTACTTCCAACTTCTTAGTTGGAGTGAGTATTTGCAACTCTTCACCACTATTTCTCTTTTCATTGCTTGTTTATTTATTTATTTTCATCTAACTGAATGGCAGAATGACTGAGTGAGAGACAGAGAAATATTGCTCCTTAGGCAGAAACAAACAGGTACAAAGACCAGATGTGAGGCCATGAGAGGGAAGAACTGAAAGGTTTCTGTGCCTGGAAGCTTGAAGTGGGATGACTTTGGGACATTTAGAAAACTGTTACACCTTGCGGAGTATTGAAAACCATGATAAAGAACTCAGTCTTTATTGCAGGGGTATTGGTCTTTAGGGATAACGCAACATTTCAGTTTCATATTTTGTACAGCTCTTTCTGGCTACCTATGGAGAAAAGACAGGCCACGTACATGACTGGATAAGAATATGAAATTCAAGACCAGTCCAGGGAAGAGATGTTGGTAGTGTAATGATGGGGAAAATGGGGAGAGTTATTGAATTCATGATTTTTGGTGTGTATAAATGTGACTAGATTGGATGATGGACTGGATTTGTGGAATGAGAGAGGTGACCTTTTTCTGCTATATTCTGACATCACTTACTGAAATAAAGAACACAAAAATAGTTTATTTGTAGAGATAACCAAGAGATTAGTTTGCAATAAGATAAATTTAAGGGACCTAGATATTTCAATATAGCAACTTAGAATTGACTGGCAAGTTCTATACTGAATATATAAATTTATGAGAGTCATTCTAATGTTTGCTTTCTTTGAATTTTTGATTCTTTTTTTTTAAACAGTGAGCACTGTAAACACATTTCTACTTTGCTCTACTTTAGGGGCTTATTGATACTCAACTCATAAAGCTACATAAACATTATAGTTACCATATTGCTTTTGTCTTATTGATGATTCTGGTTTTTTATCTGTACATGTTCAAGAATAAATCATTGTAGGATGGTTTCAAGTATATAAGTATATACCTAAGACATTAAATATTAAAATATATTTATAACATTCAATACACAAATAATTTCAACTCCCTAATACAAATGATACAATAATAAAATAATGTTTATTAAAGAGAATTTGGGCATTATCAAATGATAATATGTTACCCATTATTATGTTAACCAGTTAAGCCTCTGTCATTTAGAATTAGAGGTGATAATTTATAGTCTTAAACATAGGGAAATTTGTTTCAGATAAATAAAATACATTAAATAATAAGCATTTAATAGCATTAGAAAATATATTAGATTTATATACTTACTAGCATTGTGTTTATGCTATATTAACTTACCTTTTTCGCTATTTATTTATTTTGAAAGTTAGTGTTACAGAGATAAAGGAAGAGACAGAAAAAGAGAGAGATCCTAAAACTGCTGGTTCGCTCCCCAGATGGCTACAAGGGCCATAGTTGGATCAGGCCAAAGCCAGAAGCCAGGAGTTTTGTCCAGGTCTCCAGCACGGATGTTGGGGGACCACACATTTGGGCTATCCTTCCACTGCTTTTCCCAGACCATTAGCAGGGAGCTGGATGAGGAGCATTCAGGATACTGACCAGCACCCATTATAGGATGTCAGTGTCAAAGGCGGCAGCTTCATCTACTACACCACAACTCTGGCCCTAACTTATCTTTACATACAGCTACGCAGGCACGCCCGGCAGATTTCCTGTTCAGACATTGTTGTGCATGGTTTAAATTCATCACTGCTCATGTCAAATGAGAAAATAAGAAAAACAAGAAGATATAAAATAAACTTTCATTGGCTAAGGCTAACTGAAAATACTACAATAAGAAAAACCACCATTAAATCTACCAACGCCATTTCAACTACCCTGCCTTAATCACAAATTCTTTGGCAGCATAAATTTACTATTCAGTATTTCACTCAAAATATACATAGGAAAATGCTTCCTAAAAATAATGATTTATAATCTATCCTCTGTATATTCAGAATCATCATTTTATGCTACAGTTATAATGAATTAACCTCAGACTAACCCAGATATATCATTCTTGTTTGTCTTTAAAGGAGTCCTTCCCCATGACTTTGAGCATACTGGCAACAACATATGGACTTCCTACTTTAAATCTCACATAATTCGTTCATCATGATTCAGAAATAAATTCTTAACAACAGTCTTTATGTTCTTTTGATGACATTTATATTTCGGTTGCAAGCATACTGACATTATACCACATTGCAAAAAAAGCTAAGTCTATTAAAGTGTCTCCTATTCTTCCTTATGAGAAGATTTCAATTGCTAAGTATCCAATCACTGATAGATATTCTAGGCTATATCAAACTTCTGCTCTCTATAAAAATGCACCCATAATAAGTCTCTGTGTGGTGACACTGTGATGCAAATATATCTCCAAAAGCAATGAGAGATGCCTAGATCAAAGAATTGGAGGAAGGGAAAAAATGAAGCTCTCAAATTTAAAACAAGAAAGCTAGAAAATTGACAAAACAGTAGTAACTTAACTATGGAATAGGAAATTCTGAACTTTTTCCTGACAATACATTTTTACTTTTTCAAAGTCTATGAACATAAATAATCTTGTAACTAATCTGCTTACCTGATTTATCTAGAAGTTGGGAAACACAGAGATAAATCTGTAGTTGGGAATTTGATTTTGAATTGTATAAGTACAATATTTTATACATTTTGTAAACTCCTTAGGTACCCTGCTTTCAATTTATTTTTCTACGTGTGATTTTCCTTTGCTTTCGTTTTTCCATTATGCAAAGAGAGTTATACACAGATATAAACTCTTCTTGAATGGCAAACAGAATGCATCATTCAATACACTAATCAATCAGGAGAAGTACTTTTTCTAGCACCAGCCCATTATCATCCATATAGCATTGGGCATCACAATCAGGAAAAGAGCATTCAGCTTTTAAGAATCTAAAGACCAGGGATTTTTATTCCAAATACATAGCTCATTAGTTAAGCAACCATGACAAAATACTGGGTCATAGTAAATCTATCTATTCATTTGCAAACTTTACTGTTTTCATCTCTACCCTCTTTATGCCTCAAAAGTGCAAATATAAATTATCGTGTTTGTGAAAAGCAGTCCAGAAATAATCAGAAATTTTATAAGGATATGAGTTACCAACAAAAAAAAAAAGTGATAAACTTTGTTATTCCAGAACAAAATGACTCAAAATAAACTAAATGATCAGTGAAAAATAATTATTTTAAATTGTATATTAGTTTTCCATATTTCTCGTTAGACTCCCATCAGTGTTTTTAAACCTATCGGCAATGATGACACTAAACACAACACACTTACTTCTGGAGCCTGAAGAGTTCCTCACTGCTGTGAAGGAGTCAGCACTCTGCCTAGCTGCTGCAGAAGACGGACAGGGTGAAAGCATCTCCAAGGCTGGTTCTGAGGATGCTGTCAGAGGAAGGGAGCTCTGGTGCTATGGATCTTCTCAGCACCTGGCTGAATGGTTACAGGGATTCTTCAAGGGAGGCAAGCACAAAAAGAAAGAGGTCAAAAAATGCTTATGTATTATCTCTGAAATAAGAGTTATTGTTAACTGGTGATCAAACTAAAAATAAATCAGGACAATTACTACATAGCATTTAAGTGAGTTTTCATAACAAGGATTCCCAAAGGAATGCCCAATATGTTCTCATTCCAATAAATATGTCATCGTATGGCTTTTCATCTTCCAGAACTCTGCTATCGCAAGGACTAAAGACAGTCAATCACAAGCTGAACAGTTCTATTTTTTAAGATTTTAATTAATTCAACTGGTAATCTAATGTTAAAATATGGCATATGTCAACACATGTTTAACTGCCATCTACTGCATGCCAGGCACTTGACAGTGGAGTTACAGCAATGCATGAACTTGGCAAAGCCCTGCCCTCACTGAGCTAAAAGTCTTATCTTGTGTTACCACTACTTTCTCTAAAAGAGAAAATATAATCATTTAAACACATACATGTAGGAAGGAAACATGCAGGCATGTATGTTAAATTTGTGAAATTTAATGTTAAAATTTATTTCTGAATGTTAACTGATTTCTACTGTATTCTGAGGGTCCCTTGACAACCTAAATAACAATTGACCTGTCTGTATGTGATATGGTATTTTATCTTCTTTCCCCATAACATCTTTTAATGCTGAAAATAGGCTGAATTCTATAGAGTAGGTGTTGACAAAGTGGTTGGGACTGGATTTTGGGTGTGTTCATCTCATGTTGGAGTGCCTGGGTTGAGTACCCCAGCTTGACTGCAAATCCACTTTTCTGCTAATGCACACCCTGTGAGGCAGAGTAGTTGGTCCCTGTCACACCTACAGGAAAACTCAATTCAGTTCCGGATTCCTGTCTATCGCCTGGCCCAGCCTCAGCTGTTGCAGGCATTTGGAGAGTGAGCCAGAGGAAGGAAGATGCAGTCAAAAAAGATTGAATTTTGAAAAAAAATTCTCATAATGAGTAGAAGCATCACACTTTTACTTTGATAATGACAGTATATCTGTAGAAATAAAAGTGAGGAATAGTATAATTCTAAAGCATAACAACAAAACATAAACATAAGTAAATAATAGAACAAAGACAAAATGTTAACTTTCTTTGTTTCTGATGTTTCCATTTATAAAGATACAGAAATGATCTCACAAAGACAAATAGAGAAAATAAATTGCCTTAAGGTACCAACTAGACATTTATTTAAAAATAGTTAATATATTTTCTAATTTAATATTGAAAATATCAGAAATACTATCAATGAACAGATTGGTGGTATAGTAAAATAGCCAATTATAATTTATATATTTTAGTTAATTCAATGAATCTGTCAACCAGCCCTTTTCCTTTTTAAATTTAAAGTTATATTATATGATGTTTATTACAGAATTACACAATCACTATGACTGACGCAAGAATTTAAATCAATCATATGGCAACTACACAAAACAACAATTATTGCCTTTTCATCTATTTCCTTTCACAATTATGTTAAATTAATTTTCACTTCATATATGCATGATAAAACCAAGAAATGCAAAAAGTAAACTTCACTATAAAGCAAAATATGCCCTGTAGAGGGAACTCATTTTGCATTTTAGAATATCCTTTCAGAAATATTTCATGCATATGTAAAAGTGCATGTGTATAGATTTTTCAACATAAAATAGGATATTGTACCTTGTTTTACCATGTTCATTTAAGATCTCTTGAAGAATGTTCCATTTCTGCCTTCTCTCACCAACCCATCCTTTTTATCAGTGCACATCTAGCATAGCATAATAGGCTCAAAAAAATGCCCTCATGGGAAAATGTGATGTGACCTATGTCAAATGCAGGTAGCTTTCACCACTGTGAGTGAATAAATTTATAATCAATCTTTACAAGTAAATATTTAGGTTAAAAATCTCATTGTTTCTATATCTCTGAGCATGTTTCCTTTTCTGTAATTAAGAGGTAGTATAAGGAAAAGGTAAATCTAAATACTCTAATTTTGTTTTATATTATTGCATTTCAGTAGCAAAAATATAAATGCCTCAAAATATTATTCTAACAGCCTCTTTGCAAAAAAGTATTGATCAATAGTATTTCCATGTCTATTTCAGCATGAAAAGCACAATAACTGTTATGACTCCTATCTAAATTGCAATCCCCCATAGAAAATTCTGTTTATGTATGAACACCTACATATTTATTAATGTGAATATTTTACTTTTGCTATAACAACTTTTACCAAAAGCTCATGAAGTGTCAGCTGTCATAAAACATCAATTAATTATTCCAAAACTCAAATGAGTTAAATATAATTTTTATATTATGGCTACAAACAGCAAGGATAAAGAAAGGTCAATTTACACTGAGCATGGTCTTGCAGCTGGTAACAGGCAAAGTCAACCTCTCATCAGGGACTTCTATCTCCATGAAATGCCTTGCATTGTTTGATATAAGTGAAGATTTCAGAAAACTTCTATAGGGTTCTATAATAAAGTACTATTTTTTTTAGTTTACATATTTTTGTGTTTTTTTTTTGTTTTTTTTTTTAGTTTAACAATAATTTATTTTTTATTTTTTAAACTTTTATTTAATGAATATAAATTTCCAAGTACAGCTTATGGATTACAATGGCTTCCCCCCCATAACGTCCCTCCAACCCGCAACCCTCCCCTTTAACACTCCCTCTCCCCTTCCATTCACATCAAGATTCATTTTCGATTCTCTTTATATAAAGAAGATCAATTTAGCATATATTAAGTAAAGATTTCAACAGTTTGCTCCCACACAGAAACACAAAGTGAAAAATACTGTTTGAGTACTAGTTATAGCATTAAATCACAATGAACAGCACACTAAGAACAGAGATCCTACATGAGGAGTAAGTGCACAGTGACTCCTGTTGTTGACTTAACAAATTGACACTCTTGTTTATGGCATCAGTAATCACCCTAGGCTCTTGTCATGAGCTGCCAAGGCTATGGAAGCCCCCTGAGTTCACTGACTCTGATCATATTTAGACAGGGTCATGGTCAAAGTGGAAGTTCTCTCCTCCCTTCAGAGAAAGGTACCACCTTCTTTGATGACCCGTTCTTTCCACTGGGATCTCACTCGCGGAGATCTTTCATTTAGTTTTTTTTTTTTTTTTTTTTCCCCCAGAGTGTCTTGGCTTTCCATGCCTGAAATACTCTAATGGGCTTTTCAGCCGGATCTGCATGCCTTTAGGGCTCATTCTGAGGCCAGAGTGCTGTTTAGGACATCTGCCATTCTATGGGTCTGCTGTGTATCTCACTTCCCATGTTGGGTCGTTCTCTCCCTTTTTTATTCTATCAGCTAGTATTTGCAGACACTATTCTTGTTTATGTGATCTCTTTGGTTCTTAGTCCTATCATTATGATCAATTGTGAACAGAAATTGATCACTGGGACTAGTGAGATGGCATTGGTGCATGCCACCTTGATGGGATTGAATTGGAATCCCCTGGTATGTTTCTAACTCTACCGTTTGAGGTAAGTCAGCTTGAGCATGTCCCGAATTGCACATCTCTTCCCTCTCTTATTCCCACTCTTATATTTAACAGTGATCACTTTTCAGTTAACTTTCAGCACTTAAGAAGAATTGTGTATTGATTACAGTATTCAACCAAAAGTATTAAGTGGAACAAACAAAAAAAATACTAAGAGGGATAACATATTAAGCTACTCATCAACAATCAGGGCAAAGGTTGATCAAGTCACCGTTTCTCCTAGTGTTCATTTCACTTTAACAGGTTTCCGTTTTGGTGCTCAGTTAGTTGTCACCTATCAGGGAGAATATGTGGTATTTGTCCCTTTGGGATTGGCTTATTTCACTCAGCATAATGTCTTTCAAACTCCTAACAGGGATCACTTTTCAGTTAAATTTAAACACCTAAGAATAATTGTGTGTTAATTACAGAGTTCAACCAATGGTACTAGAACAAAAAAAAACTACTAAAATGGATAAAGTACTACAATGTACATCAACTGTCAGGACAAGAGCTGATCAATTCACTGTTTCTTATAGTGTCCATTTGACTTCCACAAGTTTCCCCTTTGGTGCTCAGTTAGTTGTCATGGATCAGTCCCTTTGGGACTGGCTTAATTCACTCAGCATGATGTTTTCCAAATTCCTCCATCTTGTCAAACATGACTGGGTTTCGCTTTTTTTGACTGCTGTATAGTATTCTATAGAGTACATGTCCCATAATTTCTTTATCCAGTCTACTGTTGATGGGCATTTGGGTTGGTTCCAGGTCTTAGCTATTGTGAATTGAGCTGCAATAAACATTAGGGTGCAGACAGCTTTTTTGTTTGCCAATTTCATTTCCTTTGGGTAAATTCCAAAGAGTGGGATGGCTGGGTTGAATGGTAGGGTTATCTTCAGGTTTCTGAGGAATCTCCAGACTGACTTCCATAGTGGCTTAACGAATTTGCATTCCCACCAACAGTGGGTTAGTGTCCCTTTTTCCCCACATCCTCGCCAGCATCTATTGTTGGTAGATTTCTGTATGTGAGCCATTCTAACCGGGGTGAGGTGAAACCTCATTGTGGTTTTGATTTGCATTTCCCTGATTGCTAGTGATCTTGAACATTTTTTCATGTGCCTGTTGGCCATTTGGATTTCCTCTTTTGAAAAATGTCTGTGAGGTCCTTGGCCCATCTCTTAAGTGGGTTGTTTGTTTTGATGTTGTGGAGTTTCTTGATTTCTTTGTAGATTCTGGTGATCAACCCTTTATCTGTTGCATAGTTTGCAAATATATTTTCCCATTCTGTTGGTTGCCTTTTCACTTTCCTGACTGTTTCTTTTGCAGTACAGAAACTTCTCAATTTGATGCAATCCCAAATGTTAATCTTGGCTTTGACTGCCTGTGCTTCTGGGGTGTTTTCCAAGAAGTCATTGCCGGTACCTATATCTTGCAGGGTTTTTCCAATGCTCTCTAATTATTCGATGGTGTCAGGTCGTAGATTTAAGTC